AAGGGTTCATTCCACGCACTCGCCCCGTAGGAATCGGGGAGGAAGTGAGACTGAGTGAAGGCATGCTCTGTTATTTTTCTCTCCCTATCCCTCCATCTCTTCCTCTTGGTGTGCGTCTGTGTATATGTGCGCCTGGCTGCAGCTGCAGCTGGGTGCGTGTCTTGTACTCTGTATTCCCTGCGCCGCTTTTGTAGAGGGAGCCTGAAAGGGCTCCGTCAAAAGCTGAGGGTGCGTTTGTGCGTTCCTGCTATCCATGTACTCACACGAATTGATGTGACGATGGAGGGAGAGAGAGAGAGAGAAAAGGGACTTCCCTCTTTCTTGCCTTTTGCTTTTTTTAGTGTTGCTGTTTTCCCTCTTTTTCCATGTGCTTTGGTTTGCGTCGGTTAGTGGCGTCCCCGCGATGGGGGAGTGGCTGTTTGCTTGGCTCGCTGCCTCCACGCAGCTGCAGATGAGTGCCGTTGCGGCGTAGCCGCATGTGTGTGTGTGTGTGTGGGCCGGTGCCATGGCGGACGCGTGTTTGATTGCGTGAGGGCGTGGGATACTGCGTCATCCCCGCAATGTGTCGTGGCTCGCCTGACGCCGATGCTGCGCTTTTTTTTTTTGCTTGACGTTGTGTTTATCGTCTTGGGCAGTTGTGACAGACCAAAGTGGCGCCGTCCCCCCACGCCCCCTCACACACATTGCGTGCTCATGGCGCATCCCCAAACACTCCCCCGTCGGCACACGTGCCCTGCCTGTTTTTCTGCCGCGTTCTACGCGAAATCCCCGGCACCAAACACCAAACACCGAGAGGGCGGGGACTCATATTTTATGCACTGAACCCTGCAGCGCATCGCACCGCACGGCAACACAGCGGGGTTGGGCAAACACGCCCACAACGCCCTCCTATATTTGTTGAATTGTTGTGCCAATTTTCTTGCTTGTATCGCCGCCCTCCCTTTTTCGTTCTTTTCTTTCTACCTCCACCCTCTTCTGCGCGTGCCTTTGTCTGGAAAAGGGCCGGAGGCTGCGCGGGTGCCGACCGCCTGCACGGGCGAGAGAGGGATAAGGACGGCGGCAGCAAGAACAACAACAGCAGCAGCAGCAGGTTGGGGTGAGAGATGCGGTGGTGTGGAGGCTTGCGCGTTGCGAGGACGACGGCTGCTGCCTCCCGCGCACGGTGCGTCATGGGCTGCCATCAGCGGACGCACAGCACCGCCGCGGTGGACCATCTCTCCGCATTGCGCCCCACGGCGGCAGAGGCACAACGCTTCTCGCAGCTCTCAGAGGCCTTGTTCGCAGACGAGGCAGCCGCCCTCTCGCTTAGCCTCCCAGGCATCAGCGACTGCGAGGTGACCGGTGCAGCTGCCGAGGAGGAGGCGGGGGAGGCGCAGCTCTCAGCGGAGGAGTGCATGGAGGTCGCGCTTGAGCCGCCGCCGCCGCCGCTGGTGTCGCCTTCAAAAAGGGGTGAACAGCAAGACGAGGGGCGACCGCAAGCAGGCACGGCACTGTGCGCGGGCCAGTCTTCGCTGCCGTCCTTCTCATGTGCCATGGTGGAGCTTTCCATGTGCCGTGACGCGGGTGAAGCTGCGACGGCGTTGGCAACTGCGGTGCGTGCTTTCATGTCGAGCGACACTTCCGTCATGAATCGCGCGGCCTCTGAGCTGCTACTTGCCGGGAGTGACGTGAAGGCGCTTGTTCCAGATGGCACGCTTCGCGGGATTCGAATGGAGCGTAAATGCATGAGTCAGTGTGACTTCTCCACCGTGTCGTTCGTCTCCGTGTTCGCGGCAGAGGTGGATTTCTCTCGCAGCCTCTTCTACGGCGCCATCTTCCACGACTGCGTGTTTGTCCGCTGCTGCTTTGATGGCTGCGTTCTGAAGGAGCTGCGGTGCTCAGGGAACGTGCGTTTTGAGGAGTGTTCCTTTCGTTTTGCCAACATCGAATTTCGTCTTTCCCGCGGAGACAACGCGACGCGTGCAAAGGTGCTGTTTGACCGCGGCGACTTTGACCTGGCGGACTTTAGCGGCAGTGATCGGCTTCCAGCGAGGTGCTTCGTGGGGTGCAGCAACACCGACCTTGCCGCGAAGTTTCCCCCAACACGCGTTTGAAACGAGCCATTGACGACGTGACAGGAGGTGCGAGGGAACGAAATACAGGGAGGGAGGGAGGGAGAGAGAGAGAGGGGCAGTTAACGTTCAACCCCCTCCCTTCATTTGTTAACATGGCGTGTGTGTTCTTTTTTTTTTTTTGCCTTTTACCCTTTGCCTTATTCACTGTGCATGTTTCGTTCTGCCTCTTGTCTCCCTTTCTGACCCGGTGTCTTGAAGGTGCGCCTCACCGCAAGGCTTAGCATTCCATATATATATACTGCCCCCGCACGCGCACGCGCACGCAAGTACGGATCGCGCGCACTGGGAGGTGTGCAGTGGAGAGTTTGGTGGGAGCGGTGCCAGAGGAACAGCGTGGTCGCGGCGGTGGAGAGAGACGGAGGGGCGTGAACAGTCATACACGCTTTGCAGTCTTGCAGGCGGCGGTGGTGCGTCACCAGTGTTAGTGCGAGTTCTCCTGGAAGGGAGGGACGATGATAAAAGCCAGTCGGCTTCAACTGTCTAGGTTGCCTCTCTGGGTGCTCAGCACGGCCCTGATGCTTGCAATGATGGGTGTGCTGCTCTTGGCAATGGCTTTGGTGCCCGAAACTATCCAGGATCTAAGGCGTGCCAACTTGTACGTGGTTGGTGCAATAATGGCGGTTGAGGTGTTTTGCTTTGTTTGTTTCCTGCAGTTCATTGTCGTCTCACGGGTGAAGGAGCTGTCGAGGCTTCTTGCAGAGGACCCAGTTATCGTGGCGGGCGATCCATTCTGCATGGCGTATCTTCGCTCCCAGCCTGCGTTTGCTGCGGCGGAGGTGGTTCGCCTGCAGCTGGCGATCGAGCAGCTTTACCTCGGCTTAGCTGGCCTGTGGCGTCGCCAAGGTGTTGTGTCGTTCGTGAGAAATGCCAGAAACGCCGCCGTGGCCGCTGATGCAGGGATGCAGCCAGACCTTTGGGACGACAAGGCGAGACTCGTGTCTTTTGCCCCCGCCCCCGCCGCCGTCGCCGTGAAGGGCGGGGCCCAGGACGAGTACGTGGAGCCAAATCTCAATAGTTTTTCCATGGACGATTACCTTCTTGACCGCCAGTACGAATACAAAAAGAGGCTGCGGACCGTGATGGAGTTGCCGTCCAAGGTGGGCTTGCGAGCCTCGCACAAGCTGCGAGTCCTCTTTAGCAACCCCTCACCCCCCGCCAGCGTGGGCGGCTCCCCGACGGTGGAGGTGGATTACTTCACGGCGTGTTCATCCGTCGGGGAGCGAGCGGAGGAGAGCCCCTTGACGCGGCGTTTTAGCCTGGAGAGTTTGCCTTCCGAGCCGTTGCTCGTGGGCGCAGAGGAAGACAGGCGGCGGTCCGATGAGGACGATGAGGTCGCCACCGGTACCGACGGCGTCGTCGGCGGGAATCGACAGTTGCTACCGGCACTCTCCGCGGAGGAGCGTGCGGTCTGCGATCCACTCAACGACAACGACAACAATTCGTTTGCGGTGCTGGAGAGTGCTCTACGGCTTGAGGGGGCCATTATTTTCCAGGTTCTAAAAAACATCCGAATCGGACGCTCGCTAAGCTCCGTCACATTGCCTGTACACATCCTTGAGAGTCGCTCGCTGCTGGAAATGCTTTCCGACATGTTTCTCGCGTGGGACATCTTAATGCCCCTGGCGTGGGGGGAGGTGCGGCAACCCGTGGACCGCATGCGGGTGATGCTGCGGTGGTTTTTCGCCGCCTACAACTGGCGACCAAAGGGGGCGGCGAAGAAGCCGTACAACCCCATCCTTGGCGAGGTGTTCCAGTGCAAGTGCCCCGCGCCACCATCGTTGCTGTCCGCGCCGCCTCCACGAGAGGTCGAGGCAAAGACGCAGGAAAGCTGCTCACCGGGGCAGCCTCCAGGCAGTATCGACTGCATGTATTTCCTCGCGGAGCAGGTCTCTCATCGCCCTCCAGTGAGCGTTTTCTACGCCGAGCTGCCTAACCTGATCATTGCGGAGGGGGCATACCTCCCCCACAGCAAACTCGTCTCACTTAACTCGGTGGCCAGCATCAGCTGCTCCTCTGTGCTGGTGCGATTTCCACGAGCGGGGTGGTCCTGCCGCTTCTCACTGCCTCACGCGTACGCCTCTGGCGTGGTGGCCGGCGCCCCGCGGCTGGAGCTTGGCGGCATCATTCGACTGGAGGATTGCCATTCGCCGGCCCATGTAACGGTGGATTTTCGTCGAAAGGGCTTTTTTAGCGGAATTTATGACGAAGTGGTGGCGCGAATTAGCACGGTGGACGGCAAAGGCATCGCAGAGGAGTACACGGGGTTGTGGCACGGCGTCATTTACCCCCGTGGCACGCAGCAGGCCGTCAACGCTGGCGCAAAGCGGCCGCGTCACCGCTCGCAACAACATCTACCACTGAGAGAGGAGGGGCATGCGGAGGAGCCGCTGTTTGATGCGGAGGCGTTCCAGCAGCGGCGCGGCATGCCTTGCGGTCGGCCACACGCATATCCATTGAATGATGACAATCACGGCCATCCGTATCCAAAGCAGAGTCGGGCGGTGTGGAGAGAACTGACGGCAGCCATTCGTCGGGGAGACGCGGAGGCGGCAGCGCAAGCCAAGACTCTTGTGGAAGAGGCTCAACGTGCGGAGCGACGTCAATTGGAAGCAGAGGGACGGGCGCACGTGCCAAAGTTTTTTGAGTTTCTTGGAACAGGCGAGCTGAAGCGTGGAAATGAAGATGCGCTGGCGAGGCAAGAAAACTGGCGGTTCACCGCACGCGAGATGCTCCTCAAGTAATGCGCGAGGAACCCACATCCCAACTCATTCCTTTGCTTTTGCTACGGGCATGACGTGTGTGCGCACATGCGTGGCATTAACGCCGACAGGAGTGGTACAGTTACCATTGCGGCGGCCTACCTCATTTGCCGCATGTTCACTTGCTTGATGCTGTGAAGTAACCTAATTCGGACATGCGCCTGTCCGAATTCCTTTCTGTTGCTGCGTGCTTCGTTAGTATTTTGTAAATGTATGTTTGCAATTACTTACCTGTCTCCCTCTTCTTTTTCCACTTGGACACGTGTGTGTGTGTGTGTGTTTGTTAGATGACATTCACCAGGCGAAATGTTTGTCTCTCTTTTTTCGTCTACGTCCCTTTTGTCTGAGAGAAACTGCATCTGATTTATATATATATATATATATATATATATATATATTCTGTGCGTGCTTCTTCTTCTTTCTGCATCTACTCTTACCAGTTTCCATCGTTGTGTACTTTTGTTGCTTTGTTCGACGCACGTCTCTCTCTATATATCTCTGTCTCTGTGCGTGTGTGTGTGTGTGTGCGTGCGTGTCTGGCTGTCTATCTCTGTGCGTCTCCATTTCTGGAGGGGACCGCGTGGCAGGCCCATGTTTGTCCCGCTCCACGGCTCTCTCGTTCTCTCTCTCTCTCTCTCCAGCTTGTCTCCTGGCGCGGGGTAGCCGGATGAGTAGTAGCGCCACAAGCCAGCGGCGCGGGGAGGACCCCTGGCCGCGGATGGAGAAGGAGGTGGAGGCGATGATGAACGGGCTGCTCGTGCAGATGCAGCGGTACCGCGAGGTGGCGCACCCGACGGTTATCGCGGGGGATGAGATGTTTGACTTCATCACGGCCGCCGCGGAGGAGGTGGAGGAGATGCGCGCGGCACTCGACACGGCGATTGAGCACCCGGAGTTGTTTGCCATCACGACGGAGGAGCTGCAGTCGCGGGCCGAGAGGACGCGCGCGTGGGAGCGCGACATGAAAAAGGCCCTCGACCTGCGCGCGAAGATCGTCGCCGAGCGGCAGCGGCGGGCGGCGGCGCAGCGGGCCGAGTTCTCCCCGGCGGAGGTCGGCATGCGGGAGAACAACGAGTTTCTGCAGCAGGAGCACGAGGCGCAGCAGCGGTACGTGCAGGCAGACGACGTCACGATTGACCGCCTCGCCGGCGGCGTGCGCCGTGTGCGGGATACGGCGGTGAACATCAAAGACGAGCTCAACACGCAGGAGTACGTGCTGGACGACATCGACAGTGGCATGACGAGGGCGCAGATGCGCCTGGACGGTGTGATGCGGAAGGTTGGAAAGCTGTTGGACTCGGCGAGCGACAGCAAAAAGATGATCTGCATCGTCGTCCTGGTGGTAATTCTGCTTCTGCTTATTATGTTTGTGGTGAAGTAGACGGCTGTGCGTCAAAAAATCAAAGAAAAAGCAAAAAAAAAAAAAGTTCTTCCTCCGCTCTGCGTGATCTTGCGAATACCACACAAGGACGCCCCCACATATAGGGAGAGGTCCTGTCTTCGTCTATGCAGTGATGCATGCACCACTGCACCGATGCATACACCTACACTTGGTTTCGTGTATACCTTTACGTTGCGCTTTTCCCTTCACACACGAAGTTAAATCAACACGAACGCAAATACATTTGGTGTCGCATGTGCCATGAAAGTTTGGCGGCTTCGTTGTTCTGTCCCCCCTCCGCGGTTGTCGCCTCTCCATCGCCTGTGCTGGCAAGACCCCCGTGTGCTGCGAGCTCCGGTCCTTCTCTCCCTTGCCGTGTGCGCGCATGGCTGTGCCTTGTCCCCCGGGTGTCTGCGAGGGAAATAGCAGAGAGAGAAAGAGAGAGGGAGGGGCGAGGAACACAGAAACAAGGAAGGGAAAACAACAAACAACGAAGAGACGTGTAACACACAAGAAAAGGCGTCTTAACGCACACAAGTTGACTCCTCAGCAAATAAGTTTTAGAATCCACCGGAAAAAGGCTTGAGCGATGGCGGCAAGGCGAAGTTCAGGACGGACGGCGAACGGGGCGGTGGTGGCGGGATGCGGCGCTCTCTTCGTGCTGCTTTCCCTGTTGTGCGCCGCGGCAGGCGGGGCGGAGCCGCAGCAGGCGCCGCCCGCCACGCCGGCGTATTTCGGTCGCCTGTCGATTCACCCAAACTTCTTCCACCATCCCGACGCCAGGAACCCGCTGTGGCGCGTGCAGGGGGGTGAGGTGGTGCTCAGCAACGGCGCCCACCTGATTCGCGCGCCGGTGCACCCGGATGGCTCCTTCGTCGTCTATGACCTTCCCTACGGCTCCTACCACCTTCATGCGGAGTTCGCCGACTTCATTTACCCAACGGTTCGCGTCGACGTCACGCAAAAGACGGTGCAGGGCATCACCCGACCAATTATTCGGACGTACACCAACGATGGCGCGATGCTGCCTGTGCAGGGAACAGGGCTGGATGACGCCTCACCAGCCGTTATTCCGCTCGCCGGCACACATGAGTACTACGTGCCGCGGGAGCAGTATAGTCTTTGGAACTTCCTAATGAATCCAATGATTATCCTGATGGTTGTGTCCATGGGGCTCATGGGGATGATGCAGTTGTTGCCGGAGGAGGATCGTAAGGAGTCGGCGCGTGAGATGCAGCGGCTGCGCAGGCAATTGTCAGGGGATAACGCGGAGGACAAGAAGGCTCCGGCGCTAGCCGCTAGTGGAAAGAAGCCCGAGTGACGCGTGGTCGGCGCCCCTTGCCGTTGCAGCTGCCACTATTTTACACGTAACAGAAAAGCAAATGAAAATGTGGAGGGAATAGGATGGAAAAAACAACAACAGCAACAAAAAGCAAAACCCTAACCGCATGAGTGAGAGAGAGAGAGCGAGAGAGAGTGCATGCGGAGTAACGAGGATGAGCGACAAGGAGGAAACGGAAGCTGGGCATGACATCCATGCATTTATTATGAGTTGTCTTACAGTTGTTTGCTTCTTACCTGACACACATAACTGTATATATGGGGAAAAAAAAAAAATAACCTCTCGTGACTTGCTGTAAAGATTAAACGGCTGGTCCTGGCACACTCTTCGCTTCCCTTGCTGCCGCAGTCGTCTTCGACAGCACCGCAGAAGCTGGCGCCCTAAGAAAAGGAAGCGGGAGGAGGAGGAGGAGGGAGGGAGGGAACAAACCAACAGAACTTCCCTAGTAAAAAGGGACACGTTGCTGCTTCGTAACGTGGCGTGTGCACAATTCAACAAGCGATAGGTTTGAGGTTGTGTCTAGGAAGTAGAAGCAAAAACGGAGCTGAAGTCGCTGCAGAGGGGTCGCTTCCGCCAGCTCATATGGGGCGCGGCGGTGGCGGCTGTGCTGGTGCTGGTCTTCTTCTTAGTCCTGCTCGTAGTCTATGACTTTGGGAAGGGGGTTACTGTCGCCGCTGCCGTCAACGGGCCGGGTGCCGCAATGGAGGGGGTGGTGGAGCTGGAACCCGCCAACTATGGCCAAGTCATTGGCCAATCAAAATATGTCTTTCTGGAGTTCTACGCCACGTGGTGCGGCCACTGCCAGAAGTTTGCGCCCGTGTTTGCCAGGCTGGCGGTACTGGTGCAGCAGGATGCGACGCTGAGGGACAAGGTCATTCTAGGCAAGATGGATAGCGGGCACATCCGAGAACTTGCGTCGGACTTTGGGGTGACCGGTTATCCCTCCCTCTTTTTGGTGCAACCGTTTCAGAAGATGGGGTTTTTGTACAAAGGCTGGCGAACCGACGACGCGATGATGGACTACCTAAGAGGGGCTGTCAAGTAGCGCCACCCTGCAGCCCTTGGATGGGCGGGATTTTTTGTTCCTTTTTAGACCCGTTTCTGCGTTTGCGTTGCCCTGCTGCGCGCCGGCGTGGTCAATGTTGTTCATCGCCTGGGCGTTGAACGCGTAGAGGCTTCCTGTAACTTTTGCGTTGGCATGTGCGGTCGGCGGGCCACGAAAAACGAAAAATAAATAAATAAACAATAATACTCACTTTTGCCCTGCAACAGTCTAAGTACTTCTCCTCTTTACCCCCTCTCATTGGTGAGAGGTGCCCGGGGAGTGTGGTACACGCAATATACTCTCCTTCTTCCCCTCTGTGCGAGTGTGCGTGAGTGTGTGAGTGAGTCTGCACGGTGATGCATGCGTCGTGAAGTTTTCGTGTCTGCAGGGCGGAGTGGTGTGGTGTGATGTGTTGCGGCTGGGGGAGGGGGCTTGCGTTGACCTCGTCTTTGCCTTCGACGTCCTGCACCTCTTCACACACCAAAGGAGGATACGGCCAGAGAGAGGAAAAAGAAAAGAAAAACACAGGGAGAAAAGTTGCTGCGAAGAGACACATACGCAGTCAACCTGTAAAAGTGCGAATAATAAAGCCACCGGCCTTTTTTTTTATTGTTGCCTTGTGGTTCGTTTGTCATGCGCCGTTTGCCATCACGTGTGACATGCCTTTCAGCGGTGCTGTTGGCCCTCGTCGCGTTGGCGTCCGTCGCCCGCGCTGACGATCCCGCGGCCTCGCTCGAGGGCGTTGTGGAGCTCACCGCCGCCACCTTCGACGAAAAGGTCGGAAAGGACGTCCCCGCCCTCGTGGAGTTCTACGCGCCGTGGTGCGGGTACTGCAAGAAAATGGTGCCGGAGCTGGAGAAGCTCGGCAGGGCGGTAAAGGCGGCGAAGGACAAGGTGCTGGTTGGCAAAGTCGACGCCACGCAGCACCGGGATCTTTCCACCCGCTTCGGTGTCAGCGGGTACCCGACGCTTCTCTTCTTCCCCGCCGGCTCGCAGCAGCAGGAGAGCTACGATGACCCGCGTGAGGCCTCGGCCTTTGTGTCGTTTCTCAACAACCGTGTTCCCGGCCTTCACCTTGCCGTCCCCCGCGAGCACGCGTACGCGACGGAGCTGACAAAGGCGAACTTTGATGCGGTTGCCATGGACGCGGCAAAGGATGCCTTTGTGATGTTCTACGCGCCTTGGTGCGGGCACTGCAAGAGACTACACCCCGTCTTTGAACGCCTCGCCATGGTGTACAAGGATGAGGCGGACGTCGTTGTTGGAAAACTGGACGCCGACGACGCGGCCAACGCTGCGGTGCGCGACCGCTACAAGATTTCTGGATACCCAACACTTATCTTCTTCCCAAAAGGGGACAAAAGCAATCCACTGTACCACGAGGGCGGCCGCAGCCTCGAAGAGTTGGTTGCGTACGTCAACGAACACACCGGGAAGCGGCGGCGTGCCTCTGGTGAGCTTGCCGAGGAGGTCGGCGTACACGCAGAGCTCTCACAGCTGCTGCGGGACATTCTGTCAGCGGAAAAAAGCGCTGAGGAGAAACGGCAGTGTGTTGAGAAGCTGAAGAAGGCGGCGGCGGAACTCTCTGGCGTGGAAGCTGTGCAGTACCCTCGTATCGCGGAGAAGCTTCTGCAGTTGGGTGCGGAGTACGTGGAGAAGGAGCTGGCCCGCCTGGCGCGTCTGAGGCAGGGTGATGTGAAGGGCGCGGTGCGCGACATGTTCACAGTCCGCAGCAACATTCTGGCCTCCCTCAAGCAGGCGTAGGCCGATACCTGTGCGCCACCCCCACCCTCACTACACCGGGTGGCGTAAACACCAAGGAAGTATACACACATATATAAATATATAATTTTTTTTCTAAAACCGTGCAAAAAAACGAGAGAAAACGAGATGTCATTGTCATGTAAATTTTAACTTTGGGAGCGGGGAGGCGAGAGGGTGTGCGTGTGTGTGTGTAGGAAATGAGGGCCAGTGTGTTTGCTGTGTGGTGAAACCCGCGTGCGTGCATGGAGATATACGCGCAGCGGAGAGTCTCTTGGGAAGGGAAACACGACGATTTAAGCAGGGAAAATGATTGATTGCGGCCCCCACCACACGCGACGCACACCTGGACCTTTCATCTTTGCGGCTGTCCCCCACGCTCCATTGCCTGATCGGCCTCCGCCTGCGTGAGCAGGCGGCAGAAGGGCGCGAGAAAAATGGAAAAGAAGAAATGCCTAACGGCAACAACAAGAGCGGGAAAAATAAAAAAACCGAAAAGAAAAAAAAACACACACACAAATATGGGAAAGGAGAGGCGTGATGGATCGCGAAGAGGCGGGGGCAGAGAAGGGAATTCTCAAATTATTATTGTGCGCGAGTTTCCCGAGTTTTCGTTTTCGTGTTTTTTTTTTGCCTCTCGTAGGTGTCCGATTTGCCTGCCGCCGCGCACCGAGTGCCTTTCTGCGGCGTCCTCCTGCCTCCGCTGTCCGCGCTCGCCTTTCCTCTCCCGCCGTGTGTGTGTGTGTGTGTGCGTCCTTCTTGCTCCTCTCTGCGTCGTGGCCGATGGTGAAGGCGGAGGCGAGGAGGGCTGGAGGCGCCGAGGGAAATTGTCTTCACGTGGCGGTGCACGCGGCGGGAAAAGCATAGCAGGGGCGAGAACGGGCGCGAACGCGAGAGAGGAAGAGGAAGAAAGAGGGAGTTGCAACGAGGACAAAGAAGGCAAGGGGGCCCGAAATGAAGTTGTTTGAAATGCATGGGCTGAACTGTGTCGCTGGCAACTTGTCTGTCATTTTCTCTCTAACTTTGCCTTTTACACGCACACACACACACACACACACTCCCGTGCCTGCCTCCTGCAGGCAGTTCGTTGAGGTGTGGAACTCGTCCTGCCTTCCTGCGAGATAGAGAGAGAGAGAGATTTAGAATAACAAGCAAGAGGCCGCCAGGAGACTGAATCAGTCGTGAGGGTGAAACTCGATTCATACCTGCACGCGATGAGCATGAAGCGGGATCTTCATCTGGTGCTGCGGCGCAGTCGTGCCACCGACGCGGCCGATGTCTTATGCCTAGCACGGCTTAGCGCAGCTACGCAGTGCGGTCCCCCCGCGACGCTATTTCCGTGGCGAACTGAGGCGGACTTTCTGACACTCATTGAGAGCACCGTTGCCTGCGTTACGGCAACCTCCACGGTCACCGGAAAGGTGGCAGGGTTTATTTGCCTCGACGACGTACCGCATCTCGCTTCGATTCCTGCAGACATGTGGGAATACTCACTGAAACGTGACGAGAATCACACCGAGGAGGAGGCTGCTGCGCAAATTGCGCCGTACAACACACTCTGGTTGAAGTCTTTGCTCGCACCTCCTTCCAGCGCGTTCCGGTCGGATACAATAAACGCAGACAACTCCAAGGCTTTACAGGTGGAGCGGGAACTGTTACTGTTTGCCTACAAGGAGGAAGACGTTATTCTGGAGCTGCTATCCGTTGTGCTGACCAATCTGCCACAAACGATGCACGTGCTTGTTGCCTTTCCGTCGGGGTGCGAGTACCCACCGCTTCAGGGATTTGGCACAAACGCTGTGTCCCTCGTGAACTGTCCCTTTGAGGGCGCGCTGCTTCACATTATGGCACCCGACCTGGTGCCGCGGCTGCAGCTTCGCCTGGGGATCATGGAGGACTACGATGACTTTGTTCCGCATTTGCTAAGTGGGTACGGCCTCATCACGGCACTGCCAGAGGAGTTCTACCTGGACGAGATCCTCAAAGACCAGGACACCTACCACAAGGTCGTCATCGCGGAGGATGCCGCCACCCACCGCGTGGTTGGCCTCATGTGCCTCGAGGCGTCCATCGAGGAGCAGCAGATGGCGTCGCGGCAGTACATGACAGAGGTGTTTGGCAAACTTCGCCCGCTGAACAGCAGGCGGGGGAGCGGCCAAAGCGGCGTCTTTGACATCCCAAATGTGGTGAGAATTAATTTTTTCCAACTTGATCCCGACTACTCCCTCTGTGCCAATCAGTTTCTGCCGTTTGTCTTTCAAGAGTTTCCGTACGTGGAGTACGCCATGATTATCCTCCCGCACGAGCAGGAGGAGCCGCCGTTTCTGCGCCACTTTGAGCGTGTCCCGCTGCGCCGGTACTATCCGCGGAACACGAAGGGGGAGGCGGTTCCGACGCCAGAGGGACTTTGGATTGCCTGCCGCTACGCCGCGGACCCTGTCGCGGTGCTGCCGGTGAGTCGAAGCGAGGACGTCGAGCGAATCTCGTCATTTCTTGAGGAACCGTTCAGTGAGTTTTCGCATCAGCATGTCGCGGCGCTGTTGGAGGACGTCAGTGTCGCCAACCCAGGCAATTCCTCGTCGCAGGACAGTGGCTCACGAATTTCGGCCTGCTTTATTCTTGAGTCGCCGCTGGGTGGAACACGTGCGCCTGCCGTTGTGGGTGTGGCCTCAACGCGGCGAGTTACGTTGGACGAGATGTACGCATTGCGCGCCAATTACGACCTGGACGTCTTCGTCAACTACTACACCAATGGCCCGAGGGACTACACGGCGACGGACATTCACCTTTCCGCAGAGGAGGGGCGACGCAAGTTTTTCCGTCAAGAGATGCGGGGAATTTTGGTGCGAAGTTTCTACACGAAGCCCGTCTACCGCCGTCACATCCCCTTCTTTGTGCGGGAGCTGTTGCGTCACACGCAGTGCGACGTGGCACTCGCGTTGGAAGACGGCCAGGCCTTGCCGTTCGCCCCGCTGCTGCGCCAGTTGCTGCGCGCCCCCCCACGTCGCGTGCAGGAGAAGACGCACACGGCTGTTCCCGAGTTGGATTCCCAGGCGCTGGGCCTGACCAAGGGCAAAGACACATTGGCGCTTGCGTGCCTGTTTGTCGGCACCCGACGCATACTTGGGGATTGCAAGAAGCTGATCCACACTCGTATCGTTGTGGCGGGGGCCGGATCCACCGGGTTGGCGTGTATCCATCGGTTTCTCTCGATCCCATATGTGCAATTTACTAATATTGTCCTCGTCTCCACCGATGGCTTGCCTGCGCACCCCAACCAGCAGTCTTACATGTGGTCCGCGGATCACATGGAACTCCTGGAGCGCGAACACACGGGCCTCGTGGTTGGAAACCCCATCCGCGTTGTGCACGGCCTCGTCGTGGACGTCGACACGACCCTGAAGTACGTCAGCGTTGACGACGGTTCCTACGAGCCGTACGACTATGTTATTCTGACCACAGGTCGCCAGTACGTTGTGCCGCACTCCATATGTCGTCTGCAGCAATCCGTGCAACACCCGACTTCGCACCCGCAGCGCGGTTTTGTACCAGCAGGCACTCTAGCCCTTTCTGGCGAGTTGTCTGTGGAGAAGCTCCGCCAACATCTGCATGACTTGGATCGCAACCCAAATAATATCAGCAACGTTGTGGTGTACGGCTCTGGGCTAGACGCCTTTGCGGTGGTGACGTCTATTGTCAACCTTGGCTTTTCCCCACAACGCGTTATTCTGGTGAGTCCAGAGGCCTCGAACCCTTTTCTGGACGTGGACGCCTTTGACTGCGTTGTGAAGATGTACAATTCACTGGGCATAAACACGCTGCGCGGCTATGGAGTGACTCGAATGGAGTACGACGATGATGGTGCGGCGCTCACAACCGTGGTGGTGTCACCTGTCTTGGCCTCTCAGGAGGGCGGCGGCGGCGGCGGCGACGGTCCAACAACGGCGGGCATTTCAAACTCCGTGGAACTGGGCTGCAGCCTCATTGTCTGCTGTGAAGACAAGGACATCGACAGTCATGTGCTCTCCACCTTGAATAGACGTTCTATTGTCTTTGACGGGCGTGTCATTGTTGAGGCGAACTATCGTACCACCGACAAGTGCGTCTACGCGGCCGGTCCTGTGGCGATGTTTACCCGCCGCTACGGGACAACCCCGGGCTTTGATGACTTTAACACCCGTGACGTGGGGACAAGCTTGGCGGAGGTCCTTCTCGGGGTGTTTGGCCTTGAGGAGTTTGCCAAGCAGGACCTCTGTGAAGCGGAGGATAAGGATAGGGAGTTGGTCGCGGCCCACAATCAATTATACACCAAAGTTCTACGGGAAAGTGGCAGTCGTGGGGCGGATTTCTTAATGGGCAACGGAGCCCAGTCGATGGAGGACGATAAGAGGAATATCACGACGCTGCAGAAGAACTTGCCGTCGTATGCCTCGCCTGTGACGAGCCGCATTCGGCTCCCCGGCAGCTACGTCTTTTTCTACTGTAGAGCTGTGGATTTTAGCCCGGCCCGCTGCCTGCGTCTCTGCTACTCCAACATCGCGGAGAACAAGCCCATCGTGACGGGCATTGAGGAGCTAAATCCAATTCTCGCCCCCACGGACAATCCCGAGGCGGCGCGGACGCCCGAACAGAGCCTCTTCGTGATTTACGTGGACGAGCAGACCCAACTCATTGAGGCGGTGGTGTACTTTGGCAACGGCACCCCGGAGATGTACCACTACATGTGCCTGATTGGGATGCCGCAGTCCTTGCTGAACCTCCTTTACCGCTACGAAGAGGCCCGCGGCGCCGCGGTGAGCGGGCCGCCGAAGAGCAGTGAAGAGGGCCGTGGCGCGGATGCTGACAGCGGCGCTGGGGGCCTGAATCTAATGGAGTACCTGCGATCCCCGAAGCTCCAGATCCTCTTCTACGATAGATTCACCGTTTTCTACCGGGAACTGCGGGAGAGGATGCGGGCGCATAAGGCGTTGATGGAGGTGAAGGCCCGCGCGCTTGAGTTTGTTAGCAAGCAGTCGCGGCTCACGGCGGAGAAGCGAAATGAGCTCGTCAAGGAGCTCACCGCAGAGAGCAGCGCGTTTGCGCGGCAGGTGCAGTATGAGCTGCTAAAATTCCTGCACGAGAGCAAAGACTACCTGCCGCAGATTTACTATTTGCCAGACATCCATGCACATGTACAGCGGCGTGCGAGGACGCCCACGCCGCCGCCAGAAAAAGACACGAAGGTGGAGTAGGTTTCTTTCATCATTTGCCCATCTTTATTTGTTCTTCTTTGTTTGTTTATTTCTGGTGTGTGGGCGGCTCCGTCTGCTTCCTCGCCACGAGTTCTGGTACTCATGTACAAATGTTGCCGCTGCCTGCGTGTGAAGTCTCACTCGCGTGGTGAGGCTTTTGGAGGCACCGTCTGCCTCCTCCTCCTCCTCCTCCCACTTGCTGCCTTTGGCTCTCCTCCGCCCAGGGGGAGGGGGAGACAAAGAAAAGGAAAAACACAAACTCTTCGCTCCTGCTTTTTCCTCCCCCTTTTCTTTTTGCTTCTTGTTGCCTCCGGATTCTGTTTCCTGCGCGGCGCGTTACATCTCGCATTGACTTGCCGTTCCGACAATAAATAAAAATAGATTAAGCTCAGCGAAAAAGC